TTTTTTAACATCACATCAACTCCTTCAATCAACCAAATTTTGGTTCAATTCTCCCCTTTCTTGGCCGGTTATGGAAGGAGAAAATGAGAAGCAAAATTGTCATTAATTTCCCTTCAACCACTACCATCACATCACACCATAACTTGTAACCTTTTATCACACTCAACTAGCCAAATTTTGGCTCTATTTCTACTATACATGGCCGGCCAAGTGGAGAATGAGAGAGAGAAAAATAAATCCTACCCCTTGTACTTTTGTCCACTCTCTTAAGTTTCTCTTGAAACTGCTAAAAATTATACTGACTGTAGGTAAGTAACTTAGCCGACAGGAAATTCTAGTTTCTGACGATTCCTTTTCAACTGCTTATTTACAATTTAATATTAATTCCCGACTACTTAGGGATCACATTAAATTCTCACTCGCGTAATATCTTAAACTGTTTCAAGTCTTGAAATTAATTCTAGACTGAATAAATTCTAAATTTAACTTTTCTGCATTAAATCTCGGGAATGACGTTGTTTCTGACGGTGTCAAATCCCGAGCTCACATTGTACCCTTCTACTGTGGGTATTTATCTTCTGACTTTAACCTAGCTGTCTGGCAATTAAGGATTTTCTCTTCTTTTAAAATGTCAGTGCGTTTTTTTTATACGCTGCTAACATCACGCTGTGTTTGGAGGTTCTTGAAATTAAGATTCTCAAACTATACTTGTACTGAAAATTATTCCGCCTTAAAGTACGACGAGAATTTATCGATCGAATTTACTTGATCGAAAACATGAACTTAACATGAAATCTGCTACAGAATTTAGGAATACATATATTAATTCCATAAATCCTTCAGTCACGTAATATTTGTCTAAGAAAATCCTTGGCTTAAATACATAAATTGTATTATTTAAGGTCTGGGATTTTCTCAGTCATTACAAAAATAGGCTTTAATCACTCGCTTATTCAACAAAATACCGAGAAAATTAAATAGAGAGAACAAGCTTGAAATTTTATTCATAAAAACTGAACTCTCTAAAATAACAATACTTAGAAGCCTTTAAATAGGCAATTGAAAATACAAATAAATGAAACAAACTAAAAGGAAACAATCTCAAGACTAATTTTAGAAGCTAGAAAAGGAAACTAAACTAATACAAAATATTCTAAATTTAAAAATCATAATAATTCATAAATCAGACTAGAAGGTATACTAGAAGATATCATGAAACAACTAAAATAAATTCAAATTCAAATTTTGAAGTAAAACAACTAATAAATCGGGCAACTTCTAAATCTGCTCCTTTCACTATATCCAACACTCTCTTTTTTCTATATGTTTTTAATATAAATGACAACAAAAAAGATTAAGTGAGAAGAATTTAAAATTTAAATAATAAAATGAGAATTTTTAAAATTAAGAGGATATAGTAAAAATGACCTAAAAATGTAGGAGCATAGTAATAATAATATATGGTCTCGTTAATTTCACTAATTTAAATTTTAAATTTTAAATTTTTACAGTAAAAAATTTTCAAAAAATGTCACGTCTCGTTCATTTCATCTCTGTCTTTCTTGCTTTCCCTCTCCCTTTATCAATTCCAGTCTCTGACCCAAATTTTCTCTGTTCTTTTTGTTTTTCCTTTCTTTTCTGAATCTCTCTCTTTTGTTAACCAACGAACTCCTCTATCTCTTCTCTACCATAGGAAGGACACCGGAAACCAGAAAGATTTGAGAGTCCAACGTTGAAGGACGGATGCAACATTCAAATACATGAAAAAAGACGCAGGACAACCAGCCCGCTGGCACATATTGAGATTAGGGATCAACAAAATTGACAAGATGAAAACCCCCCTCCGACCACTTATTTACCTTTTGTTTTGTTTTGTTTTTTGTGAAACGTACTCGATTTTTTTCCGTGTCTAATAAAATGGGTATATTTTTCACCAAGATTGGATTTTCTTCTCTCTCTCTCTCTTCCCTTTCTTTCCTGTACAGTCTTGGTTTTGACATTGGTTTCCTTTCTCATGTTTAACACCGTTTTAAATATTTCTTTTAGTTTATTGGGGAGGCCTCTGTTTTTCTTACAGCAAGCATCTTACAAAGAAACCCCGACAAAAATCCCTCAAAAGAAAATAACAGAAATTTTTGTGTTTGATCAAATGGGTATTTGATTCTTAGCAAAAGAAAAAAAAAAAGGGTATTTTGATTTTCATCAAGATATAAACGTTAGTTTCTCGTCATATATATATATATATCTATATATATCTCTGGAGAGGGGTTGCTTCCTTCTGACCAGGTTCTTGTGACTGGAGATGACCAAGCTCGTGACATTGTGACAACATATGAACAAGACCCTCTTTGTGTTTTTTGAGGACTTTCAAAGTTCCATGCTGAAAATGGGACGTATAGGGGTCATCACAGGGACTAATGGTGAAATTCGTAGGGATTGTGGAAGAGTTAATTGAAAAAAAAAAAAAAAAAACACTACTAGAGTTGATTATCATTATACTTAGCTATTTAAGTTAAGATTAAGCTTCTTTGTTAAGAAATGTTGGGTTAAACAAATATCTACTTATTACAAAACTTTTTCTAATTCTCCTGAAGATGACTTGAAATACAAGGCACAAACAATCCCTTCCTGTAAAACTGTTAATCATATATTATTACATTCTTAATGTTTCTATTCCCACACAAAAGAGATTAGATAATTATATGTCAAAGTAAAGAAATAATTATAGGGAAGAAAGCAGGGGAGTAGAATGCATAAATGTTCTCATTTTAATTTGCTTCACCACAACAAAAATATAATCCTCATCAGCACAAATAATCAAATTTGTAACTTCATGTTTCCTGTATGCATAAAAAGAAATATTAAAAATCGACAGTTTGGTTTAAGGAACTAATCTGCTGCACTAATTACAGATCGGATCGGACTTGACAAATGAATCCATAAAATAATTAATTAACAAAGTCAGAACAAGTCAAGTGATTAGTATCAAATTAAGTAATTAACTGTACAAATATAAGTAAACAAGTCGTGTTCTTGCACATCGACACTCCCTATTTAGTCAGACAAGAAAAGTTTTATCAGTTTTGTGTCAGATCTATAATTGAACCATTGACCCCGGATCCATTCCCATGGGATTGAGAGAGTAAACTGTAGAATGTTGGCTTTTTAAAATTTCTGAAATAAAGTAGATCTATTAGCGACATTTATGAAAATCTACCGACCTGCACAAGCAACTAGAGGGAAATTAATTAATGGGGACCGTTCCCCAGTCTTATAAGGTTGTCATCATTGACAGACATGGTGGCCCCTCCTTGTTAGATTCACTTGACTATTCTCCTCTCTGTTTTCCAACGATCAACTGGCAAAAGAGAGCGTGAAGTCTGGATATTCTAATCTTCATATATACAACATTTGACAAAATTGGCTCCCTCTTTTACTCATGGCCATCACCAGAATGAAACTCCGAAACCGCACTAGCCCATCCACATTTTGGATCTTGTTCCTCCATGTCATACTTGTCCACTCACTGAGCTTATTGCAGCCTAAACGTGTCATTGCAAGTACACTAGGAAACGACACTGATAGGATTGCTTTGCTCAAATTCAAAGAATCGATCTCCAACAAGCCGCATGGAATGCTGAACATGTGGAATGACTCTGTTCACTTCTGTAGCTGGCCTGGAATCGCTTGCGGCCGCCACCATCAGAGGATAATAGCCCTGAACTTTAGCGGCTACAACTTGCATGGAACCATATCACCGTACGTTGGGAACCTCTCTTTCCTGAGGTCCCTTGACCTCACAGATAACAGCTTCTTGGGCGATATTCCACAGGAAGTTGGTCGTTTGTTCCTGTAGCGACCCTCCTTTGAGGCCGCCACTGTAACTAACTTCTTAACTTGTACTTACTGAAATTTTTTAAAATTTACGGAACATTTTTTTTTTAAAGGTCTTATAATAAACATAAGATACAAAATTGCTTTCTTAATTAAAATATTTAAACCTTAACATATCTGTTTCAGAATTATAATTAACAAAACTATTTATAACATAAATCTGATTGCGGAAATATTTGCGAGCGGTATCCATATCCCGAGCCCCACATCGTTCGTTCATTCGCCAGCAGTCCATCAGACATTATATGCCGGTTGCTTACCTACAGTATAAACATTCTATAATGAGCTTTCGCTCAGCTAGTAGGAACTATCTCTCGCAAAATAACTGTAAGTTCACATGAATAAATATGCATGAGCCAATTATGCTTAATTATGATGTCTTATCAGAATCTTATTATCTTATCTTATCTTTCTTACTAATGGCCCTGAGTGCTCGTACCACTTGCGCGCAATCATCGGGACGTGAGGGTTTGCAAGGTCCCCCATGACACCGTGATTATAACTTGAATGCCTCCCTTGAGTCGGAGGACATCATTATTATTATTTTTTTCTCTCTTGTGGAGCTTGAGTTACCTCCCTTGTGGAGGCTGGTACGGCACTCAACTGAGATTACTCTTATAAGTTCCTCTTGACTTATTAAGGTGTATGCAATATGACCTAGCATAACATACTATATCATGTACTCGAACACATATAATTCGGGTGTACTGCCTAAGTGTATGTAGTATAACATAGCATAGCATTCATAACATTAAATGTACTCAAACATATATAGTTCATGTGTACTGTTTACTTTAAAATCTATTTATACTGTAGGCGAGATTCCTACTTACTTGATTTTCAAAGCTGGAATCCCTTTTTCGCCTATCAGCCTAGTCTCTTGCTTTCTTCTGAAAATGAACACCCATTAAGAGTGTGAGATTAACTATTATTTGCTATTTTATTTTAGCAACTTATGAAGGAAAATCTAACCATTTCCATAAGGCATATATTCCTTTCCTTTACTAAAGGATAATAAAGATTAATTTATTAAATCTTCAAAATCTTATTTTCCTAAATTTCCCTTGGTATGATATTAAGGCCCAATTCGGCCTAGGACTTATACATGGCATTCTAACTTTTACGCCGCTGAAATTTATACTCCAACGGAGTCTCTTAAACTAATGTGGACGTTG